AAAAAAAAAGACAAGAAGGAAATAAGAAAAGGCGATTTTAACTAGAAATAAAAAATAACAGTAGTAACAAGGGCAGAATTTGCTCTTGAATAAAAAATCTTTTTTTAAAGAATGAACAAAAGTAATCAAAGACTCTACCTTGTTGGCCCAAATTGACCGCAGGTACTAGACGCTACTACTGGTTTACCAAATGCAGCATTAATAAAATCTGGAATACAGTGTATCGGACGCCCATTCTGATAACACGGATCGTAGTCCAGTTTCCTCATTGAAAACTGTGAGTAATGTGCTGCGAACAGCACTGGTAAAAGCGCAGAAACTGTTACGGCAACAATTGCAACTGAGCTGTACGACGGCCACAACTGCATGATCGTTGACGAGACAAAAAAAAAAAAAATGCAAAGCCTTCTTTAGTTATGATGAATTACGCTTGGCAGCAAGCAACCACTTTTTGAAATTTGTATCGAATGTCTAGCGAAAAAGTAACAATGAGGAAGAGGAGTTAAAGAGCAAAGAAAAACTACAGTGTTTTTTCTGTTTTGTTCCACTTTAATTAAAGCAAGAGAATAGAAAATAAAAGAAAGTAGTGGAACAGGAAGTAATAGCAGTAAAATATGTATGACTTTTGTTACTAATCAATTAATATCTTCCTTAATTGTAGCAGGAACTTCAGTGGAAGATTGAACGTTATGACTAAAGTTGAAGGTTGCAACGATGGTGTCGCTTCTACCGTTTTAATGGTGATTTAGTCGGTGTTGCAGAAACAGATTATTGAATAAATGGTTTCTTTTCTGCTTTCTTCCTACCAATTTTTTTCTCTTCCTTCTTCAGTGATAAAGAAATCAAAAACAATACAGTATAAAGAGGAAACAGTTAATAGTATAAGATAAAAAGTTGTGTAAACTGACTTGAACAGAATGCTTGAAGTTATCAGATATGTAGCTGGAAAGTTAGGATGCTACGGATAACCAACGTCGACAGATGAGAAATTTCTCCTTCTTTTAATTTTTCTTTTCAGCCTCGTTTTGTTACAAAGAGAGGCGGGACTTTTTTGGGACGAAAAATAAATATACGGCCAAATAACTGCACGATTTGCAGAAAAAGATGATGATGACGATGATGATGATGCAGAATAAGATAAAAAAGAAGGAGAAGAAAAGGTTTTTCAGAAAGCTACTTTTTCTTTCCTTATTTTTTTCTTCTCTTTTTTGTCTCACTTTTTGCTTCTCGAGATCACTTTTTACTGCATTAACAGTCCGCTCTCTTTGAGTGATGTTTTCAGCCGTTTTCTTCCGTTTTTCCTGTCCTTCGTTTTCCCTTCCCACTCCTTTAACTGCTTTTGCTTAATGGCGGATGAGTAACTTTGTGGAACGGCGATTACAACGTCGACAAACTAGATGCTGTTGTCTGCAGAGGTAATGCGTCAGGAGGGATGTCCGTTTAATAAGTGACTGATACCAAATAATTACGGTTTTCAGAAATCAGAGAAGACAGCTGTAGTTTGACTGACAGAGTGGCAATACTGGCCTTGGGTTTCTAGAACGAAGAATCTTTTAACTCCGCGGATTCAGTTACGCTGGTGTGTGTGACGGCGGCTGGGTGATGTTGAACATTCATTTCAACAACTAATAATAAAATGAAAAAGATGTGGCCCGGTCCCCTCCCTCTGTTTCCCCTTCCCCGCTCTCATTCCTTTTTTTCGTCCCCTCTTTACCGCAGGTGGGCGTGGCAAAGCTTTCATCTTTGAATAGAACGAAAAGATCGAAACACCAAAAATTTTATGTGTGAAAATCTATTTGGTAAGAAAAACTGAACGTTTGAAAATGAAGATGATCAATTACTGAAACCTAGAAAATTTGTAAATCCTGTTTTTCATGACCTTTTTTCTCAGATACAACAATCAAGTGAGTGTTAAGAGGAGAACGAAAAAAAAAGATTGCTTCTTTTTTCTTTTCAAGTTGCTGTCTAATGCAACTAATTTGATCGTGGACACTGTATGGAATGGAGTGCTTAATTAAATAATCACAGAGTCGGTGCTATTAAAAGCACTCATTCTCTTTTTCCTCCCAACAATTTTTGTCTCCAAATGACTACGGTAGTCAACAGGCATTCAATAAATTCAAAATAACACTATAAAT